CCCCACCCGTCTGGTGGCTGGTTCTTTTTGAATTATCTTAATAATCCGGTGATTCTTTATTCTTGGTGGTGCTTGAATAGGGTCGTTTTTCGTTTGTTCGTTTGTACAGTGTGCGATGGAACGCAATATATGGATTGAACTCCCTTACCTTCCTCGTATTTGTACGTGTCAAGATCCCCAGGTTTTCTGAATCGAAGTTGTGTCTCTTGTATGCAGACCATAGAGAGTGGATTGCGTTTCTGATATTATTTTCTTTCATCCTTGAAGACAGATTTTGTCCGGTTTATCTTATGTAGTGTTTATCGCACACCATGCACTCCACTCAGTACAAAATGCCCCATACACCCTACGCTTGGGTATTGAAACCAGTGACTTCAGTGTGGCTGTTGGTTCATGATCTACTCGGATTGCCTTCGGTTGCAGTGATCTTATTGTGAGTTCGGATATATTTCTGATGCACGGTAGGGCGGCCCAATTCCCTCCTTACGTGTCTTGTTGCTGCTGCTGTCGAGAATTACCCCCACCAAACTTCTCCTGGTGAAACCTCGTGGTTTGCCTCTTTTCAGCTAATCAATATGGGTCGTTATCTCCCGTTCCAATAACAAATTTGGTAAAAGTTGGTATTTGCTGCACGTCGCTACAGACTTGCCGTATTAAAAAATTCTAATCCGATAGCTTGGTTGGCACTCTTTTTGAAAAACCATTGGACCATTTTCATTCCGGACAAACTGAATGGTAGTTGCTGTTATTAAGATGGAGAGTTTATTCGTTGTGACCTTACCACGCAAGCGTCCGATGCAATATCAAGTTGTTCTTCTGATAAATTACTTCTAACTCCAGTGGAAAATCATAATTTTACGGCAGAAATTTTGGTGGTACGGCAGTAGAGCATTGGTGTCGAACACTGGTATCATGCTATCGATGATGATGATGATGATGATGATAATGATGATGATGATGAATTTCAGTAGGATGTAGGTTCGAAGTCCACAGAAGCTTCCGAGTGGAGCAAACAATGACAATTGCATCAGCCAAGGACAGCCATTCGTCCGGCCACACAGGTCTCCGGAGCGAGCGCTCTCAATATCTTCCTCTTGGACTACTTGAAGATGTGTGTCTACGGGACTGGACTAGGAAATCGTCAGCGGTCACGATCGAATATCGTTACCCAGTGTCATAAGACAACGCAACCAACTGAGGAATATGATGACCAGTTGTACGAAGGTACCGGTAGGCAAACAGAAGGTCTGTCAACAACTCTGATTCAAACCTTGACGATCTGTAAGTTTTTTGTTCTTACTTTATTATATCAGTGAGATTTCCATGCTGAAAACGAGTATTCGTATGAACAGTTTCACAGAAACTGCGGCAAGATGAAGGGGTTTGTTAACATCAGCCTGCACGTTGCACCACTTGAGCTAAAGGGGTTGCTTCCTCTAGTATCGCTTCTGCAATAGAAAAAAGCTTCCATATGATCAGGCACAACTGAAATCAGCATGAGGAGATTCTCAATGGAAATTTCATCCTGTAAGTGAAGTCAGTCTATGGTGAAAAGCTGTTTTATCATTATTGGGAATTATTAGCAACGCGTATCTAACTCAAACTCAAAGGAAACCTTTTATAAGTTGCTCGAAAGAAGAAAATTTCACAAGATGAGTGTCAACCTCTTATGGGTTAAGCTTTTCCCGCCAATGCTTCGACAACATAAAGCTGTTTATCCGAAATTTTGAAAGAAGGTGATGAGACAAATCTAACTGCCTATTGCTTGCCGCCTACCGATCGGTATTTATTTGTTAGTGTTGTTTTTCGTTATAACTAATCGGGCGGTGGATGAATGAATTCACTCACGCGACTGCCACTGCTCCAATCGACTACCAAATTTCTGCTTCTGATCGTAACGACGCACGAATGAGTAATACATGGTCATAATGATCGTAAGCTAAAGACACTGCTCCCACAGTTTCACGAAGGAGAAAACTGCACAGCGAAAATGGGGATGCAAGATCGCTTCAAATGGATGACAACGACAGTTTATTCCTCAGCCTTCTGTAGCGAACTCGATTTACAATACGCTGCAAAATCTTCGTCTCAAAATTCAGGTAAACGATGCTGAATTTATGGGAATACGCATTAAGCCGTACTTTGGGTAATTCTCCAGAAGAAACAAGTACGCAAGGATTAGCCTGACGAAAACTACAACAGTCTCATTTTTGGTGATGCAGGAGGTTAGGAGTCTAAGCACTACACTCAGAAACTCATCAAGCCTTTCGTTCAAGGGGAATCTCTAGCCGCAAGAGCATTTGCGGAAGTTGAAGACTAAAAGGTGGAGGAAAAATCAGGAATATTCGGACATCTGTAGGTCGCCATCTGCTTGAGACGTGGCAGTATTAGCAAAAATATTTCTGACATTTACTGGATGAAAGTCAGTCTTTTTAACCTATGTATATCTTAATGCAACAGAAAGTGAAATGATAGAGGATGTCTGCAGATAATAGTATACTGGTGTGGCAATGTACTCTCCCAGAGAGTACACTGAATGAGCAAACGGAAAAGTGCAGTTTAGAAAAGGCTGATGTCCAGTGTTGTCTGCGAGGTCATCCTTAAACTGTATGGATTGTGCGTGTCGAACCGACGGAGAATCGGTTTGTTACACATGCTGGTTAACTCTACTGGTTAGCTATTCGCAACCAACATTCTTCATAGATTTTCTTTACCTGAGCAGTATGGATAGTTTTGAATTGATCAGGGCTAGTACATTCAGACTATCGTCGATCTCAAAGACAATTGGAATCTGACTGCGCGAGCCACATCTCTGCGTTCAAAAGAAGCTTGTGCGATCGCTGACACTGACCTCGACCACTTGACTCTAACTCGTTAACCCATGGACTTCCCACCTCATTCCATTTGTATTCCTTATCTTTATTTTTTTAAAAATGTCTGTGGTTTTCACAACTTTTGCACATGACATCTGGTATCATATGAATTTGTGAAAAGTTCCCCAAAGGGCGAATTTAGGATACGACCCCAAACAGACGTCACTCTCGACTGAGCACTTAACTTGCCCCGATAAGCCGATTTTTAATTCCCGGTAGTGTAGAGTGTCATGTAATTATAGAGAATGGACAAACTTGAGACACTTTCTCAATTGCGCCAGTGTCGACCTAATGTGAGGAAAAATATGTTAGCCGAGTTCAAGTTGCACTGAGAATGTGTGACCAAAAGAAACTGGAGAACTCAATCTTCTTCTTTCTACATCCTAAACGACGGTTAAAAAATGTTCCTCCACGTTGCTCACTGCTTTGCTCCTTACTAATGTCTACAAGAAGCAGTCCGATTCCACCGCGGGTAGTTTTATTTCCACACTGCACACTTGCAGAAATATCCCGTGATTCAAGCTTGGCGTCTGACATATTATATTATAGTACAGTGCAATATAGCATACGACGGTGTAGTTAAAACGGGAAGAAATAGGTGCCTTTGGTTTGGGGAACTACGCAGTCTTTCGCTGTTGCAGAATGAATCAAGGTTCAAACCAAAAGTTTAGACATGTTAAAAGAGTTTGCAGACCAGCTTGTTTGTGAAACATCTGTCATTTCTCGACAAGGTACCGGATTAAACAACCCTCATGCGCACTTCACTGATTCCTCAGCCAGCTTGTTTGTGAAACATCTGTCATTTCTCGACAAGGTACCGGATTAAACAACCCTCATGCGCACTTCACCGCTTCCTCAGTAACTGTATTTGATTTTCTAATTTGAAGGGTAGAGTATTGCTGGCGGCTGTCTACATTCCATTTTTACAACACCTCAAGAAGCCTGAAATTTCTAGTTTTAAAATAGTCCGAAACTTCTGTTAGATTCGGTGCCGAGTAATATAAAGTTATTCCGAGTAGCTTAGTCCCGTGAAACGCAGGTTCCTCCAAATAATTCTACACGGCTTGGGACGTTTACGCTTATGGCAATACGCCATTGCTCGGTGAATTGGCAGCACGGATCACAGACAGTACTTGTAAGCTTTTATCCGGGAACTAATACACTACAGGAGAAAGGTGGTTTCCCAATTATTGAGCCAATAAAGTGAATATTTTTGGTGATTTGAAGGGACCCAGAAGTTCTTCGACGGAGATTTCCCCCCTCGGGTGAAGCATATGTATGCTGAAAGGCCAAGAAGCACTGCATATCCGTTTCCTTCTTAACAAGGGTCATCAAAGATGAGCGTCTTACTGAATGAATGACAAGAAATATAAAATTTAATGTGGCCCCATATGGTAAAGCTAAATACCTTTGTTAAGCATTTTCGGCCTTCCAGGACCGCGTTTAACTCCACCTGTCTGACCTTCTCTAGTTCTCAGGGGGATGGAGGACGACAAGTCGGTGGAGAAATAAAACATTTCACAGTGTAAAATTTCCGCGTACACGGATGCTTAATTTTGGTCTGAAATCACTGAAACATAATTTAGGATAGCTGAATTCACAGGTGTTCGTAAATTCAAGGCGCCGTGCGTACTCAGAGAGAAATATCGTTAGTTTTTCTCAGTTCATGAAGTTGGAACTGCAGGGTTCGCTTTGCTATTTCAAGGATACAGTGTCCGAAAACGAGCCCTTCCGAGTGAGCACTCAGCTTGCTGAGGGCATTGATAAAATAGAGCCACTCTTCCATATGCTCCACTCAAAATCGTTCGAAAAAGAAGCTGCACCGACCTCGTATTTCCAGCTATTGGCAAAGTAAACACAGGCTATTTGATTTTCACAAGAGACTCAACTGAATCTCTCGTTTATGATATTCTACAACTGAATGTGCTGCACACAAGCCACCTCATGATTCAGTTGGAACGATATTCGAGATATTGCAGTATTTTTTCATAAAGGAAACTACTCACAAGGTTGCTGAAAACTCTTCCTTCATGAAAATATACTTTGATATTTCAGATATCGTGCCAAATGAATCATTAGGCGGCCCGTGTGCAGCACATTCACTTGTAGAATATCATAAACGAGAGGTTAAGTTGAGTCTCTCGTGAAAGCCAAATTGATTTGCAAATGAGTGTATTCCTCAAAAACAGTCCATTTTGGGTTGACGGAAACTCGGGGACTGCGCCTACCTGATGAGACCCAAGAAGGACGGAACCGGTCGTGGGCTGTCGAAGAGTTTTCAGCAACGTTGTGAGCAGTTCCCTTTATGAGAGTAAACACAGACTAAGTTATGCAGGGGACTTACGGCCAGGATGCCGTTTTAACAGGGTCTGAGTAGGAGAGGGCGAGAGAAGTCCACTTATTTTCGCTACCATGCATGCATCAAAGAGACAGTTTGAAATTTTTATGTCAGCCTGATTAACAAAAGTCAGTCAACATACAGCGGAATAAAACACTCGATACCAGACAGTAACGCCACAACCAGGGACTAGTGATCGGCCCACATTCGTGTCTGACTGACAGACCGACGAACGTTGTAACCCAGGCTAATGAGTGCCATTCAGATTTGCACACGATGTTTGAGGCCTTGTTGCAAACCTTATAGTGAAAGTGGCGTAGCATCCTCGCATGAATATGTATCATCCTCGTGAACTTTGCAAGCCTCCATAACTAGAGCCTCTAGTTGATTTTGTGATTACTTGAGTAGATCCATTCCAATCGTTTTGATCTCTCTACCAAAATTACGCGTTATACAAGTTGAGTACAGGATGTTGTATACAAGATAATGATTTTTTTCATGTTTTTGATGACTGATTCACCCTGTTCCACACCTCTGCGAGTTTGTTTCCTTTGAAATGAATCTCTCAGTATCCTGATTAAACCATACGGGACGCCTGGTGCTATTGTATGGGATCAACCTTCTGATTCTGGTCTGCATTCTCAGCATGAAAGTCAATCAGAACCAGCCTTCTTAGTGGTGGTCATTTTGCGCTGTTTGATAGCTTTATTCACGTGCCAATTTTGGTTGTCCGGCATGATTAAGTCACTCAGCCAAGTGCAACGCATTAGTGTGTAATGGCAAATTACGGACGGTGAAATAATGCAAATGGTAGAATGACGGACAGGTTTGTTAAAGTGTTTTCACCATTCAGACATTCCAGACAGGGCTATGTAGACAGTGATTAAATCTATACAGGGGTTTTTCAATGGCACATGGATGGCATTTGATTGCAAAGCACCTCGGTCAAACGACCGGAGACATATTATCAGTTGATATCCCTCCAGTGAATTAGTGACTGAAGTGAGGTCAAAATGAAGCCTAGTTTCTCTGCGTTGACAAGACAGATGATGATGGTGATGTGTTGTGGAAATTCACAATTATATCCCTCCAGTGAATTAGTGACTGAAGTGCGATCAAAATGAAGCCTATTTTCTCTGCGTTGACAAGACAGATGGAAGCTTGTGGTGATGTATTGTGGAAATTCACAATTTTCCGGCCATGTATTACCTCGAGAATTCCAAACGGACAAAATTCAACAACGGCATCAGTGCTTCAGGCACCGCAACCCAGTCCAACCAACCGTCCCTTCAGTTCGGTCAGCTAAGTAAAACTATCAAAGTGACGGTAATCGTTATTGGTGCTATGGCTGAACAACAATGGGCATTTTAGAAAAAAATGTTTCACACAACTTCGTAAGCAGTGATGGTTTGGATATAAGAGTGCCTAAGGTCAGTTGGCATACGTGTATACGAACAGCACCACAATCAAATAAATGGAGCCCGGTTTTGAATTTCCAGCGTCCAGTGAATCTGTTCCTATCTAGGTCCTTTATATTTTGACCAGACACATGCACATACATCCAGCTGAAACTTGCGGGATGTACCAATAAAATGGAACTAATGCTGGTGCTAACTGTTAAGCTTCTGAATTGCTGCACGTTGATCTTATTCCATTATGTACATTTCAAAAAGAGTACCTTGTGAGCAGCTCCAAATTCCATTCAGCTTGAACCATTTGTCGTCTGTCTGCTATGCTAGGCGTCTAGTGAATAACTCACTGCTGAACGCCAGACCCGGTTCGGATGCAGGTCCCATTGCCACTACAACTGAATTAGATGTGTGGGAGAGTGATAGGGATATGGTGTAAATAAGTTGATACTAAGACCTGGATAGACTGCTGCTTCACACTTGCCTTGCATGCCAGTCAAGCAGTTGCCCTGCTGAAGAGGTCTATGACGAGCAGAAATCAGTCCAGCGATTTGGTATGGTTAACTGAAACAATTCATCTGGGACAGAAGTACGACTGTTCAGAGGAAGATAGTATAAAAGCCAATTCTACGAATTCTGCAGCTAGTCGCGAGAGGACTGCGTGATGATTAGCCAAGAACGACCAAAAGCTATAATGCGAAGTTAGTACCAAGATAATCGTGGTTTAAAATCGCCCTCGAAATTCACGAGTGTGTATGGCTGATGAGCTGCAACAAGACCAAATATTTTTAACATCCCTGCTATCCTTAAGAAGATTATACCACGAACAAAAACAAACAAGTTCATTTTCAGTTCAGTTCCAGTAGATTGTTGATGTGTAAATAGGCTGCACCATGCAAGTGGGTAGGCAGTTGAGCTTAGTTCGGCCTAACAATAATTTAAGACAGATTTGAAAAACTTGTCTGGACCAAAAGTGACGCAAACTGAAAGCATGAACTTCGAAAGAGGATTGACGAAATGCACAGAAGCAAACTTCCTTGTGGACATGTCACTCATGAAAGTCATCCCCTGAGACATGCTCACACACAGTAGAAGATTTTATGCCGATTGAACAAATTTTCGACTAGATTTCAATCCAGGCAACCCACACCAGATCCAGGCACATCTCGCACCATTGTTTCGCCAAAATCCTAGTGGTGAATTTAACCGTTTTTATTTTGCCAACTTACGGTACTCGAAGCAAACGAATGCTTCCTGCTGGGTCAGAAAAATATATTTTTAGGTGAACATTTTCAACAGCCCTCGTTTCAAACAACCAATAGAATTAGAGCAGCAGCGTAAAACACTGGGTTATAACTGCGTTTGGTCACAAACGGCGATCAAGTGGTAAATCAGCAGCTAAACTTGATGTGGTTAGCATATGTCACGTCAGCGGATGGACAGTGACCAGATATGTTTGTTAGTTTTTGTGCCTTTCCTCACGATACTTAGTCGGATGTTGCTTGTCATTATTGTAAATTACAAGGAGCAGTCACCTGATAAACTAAGCCCAAAACGAGTATACGGAGGTTGACACCAACGGTAAACTATATAGCAGTGTGTGACACATTGCAAAGCAGTTCGGAAATAGTGTCACGTCATGCGGTATCCGTGAGAATGCATGCGCGCTGAAAAAATCCTTTACGAAGAGATTGCTAATACCTGTTCAAGAAACTCACTGCTTCGTTTGCAAGCAAAGCGAATAAAAAGCATTATAAATATTGTTGGTCTTGGACCCCGAATCCGCAAGTTTCCTTCCGAAAGACAGAATGCTTGAAATCAAATGTGTTATCAGCAACGATCAAATTATATTTCAACCACTCAAACGTCTAAATACTAGTGAGAAGTGATGATCGTGGGAAGATGTAAGTCGTGCTGAAACAAGCACAGATTAGTCCTTCATGAAAACGTTACTTTTGGAAGACTTGAGTGTTTCACGACCACTTCTTCAGATGAAGACAATGGGTATATGCAGAAATACCAGGTACACATTGTACAAAAGCCACAGTGGCATTTTTTAGAAATTCAAACTGACTTCGGATAGGTGTTCTTCAAGTGGAGGTCCCCGCATACATCGTTTCACCGTAGTTCTGGACACAGCCGTCATTTAATTTTTTGGATATTTATCTGATATCTCACCAAATTTTTGTCAGCAACTGTGGTAGCTGATCAGGTGGTTGTTGGTCTGTTTGCTGAGCGCAGTAAACGACTTGCAGATATTTCGGTAGAGTTCGGAGGCTGGGCAATGCGCGTTCGGGTGTGTATTTTCCATCTTTATGCTTGCGCTTATATAGTTTGCAGAAAGCGCCTTTAGCATTCAACCAGAGTGGTTCTTCAAAATCACTTCACTTGAAATTTGCTTGGTCCTTTCGTGATCTGGTTGCGTCGTGGCCTTCATGCCTTGCATTCGATTGGTCCACCATGTCCGATTCTTTTGGTTTGTTGTTTCTAGTTCTGATGTGTCCGATCATGATCTGTGTTGCACACGCAAAGAGTGGAACTTTCCAGCCGCAGCTACTTGTGTCTCCTCAGGTGGTGACGAAACGTCTGAAAGTGAATGGCATAGGTTGACGAAGAGATTAACAGGCACCTAATCGACTACCAATGGATGCACTCTGGCTACCAATATGCCAACACAGTTACATTTTACCATTTGCCAGAATAATGCAATCGGATGTATCGGTAACTTGAATCCGTCAGTAATGACCTAAGTTCCTCCCATTTGTGCGGCTTACTATTTTCCTCTGGAGGTGAGCAAGCAGAGCTTATTTAAGACAAGTGAAACATTTCCAAAGTGACCGCTAAAAATCTCCAGAGACAACTTAGATTAAATGATCAAAGGTGAAAACTATCAACTTTTTCGTTAGGATCTTGGTTTGATTCAGCGTTGAAACCAACTCCAACCAAGAAGCGAACAAAGTGAGCAAAACCCATTGTTTGCTGGAGTAAAAGTACAGTTAACCGCAGAAGCTACATACAGACAGGTGTAGAACTCATATGCCCTGTCGAAACCATTGATTAGCAAACAGTGTTTGGACACAGTTCTGAGTTTATGTATGGAAGTTACTCGTTACTAAGTTAAACCTTAGTGACGCTAAACGAGTGACGAACGGATTGTCTTTCATAGGCTATACATTGTAATCTCTATCATAGTTCAAAAGATTTTGCCGTTCAACCTGTCTAATACCCGTTCCAAAACCCAACCATTATTGTTTTCGAAAAATTCCATATGAACAGGAGCATCCTCGCATCGGGATCTATTTTTTCGAGGTTGGTTTGTAACTGTGCATGTGAGTAACTCTCCTACAAAGAATGGATGTGTGGGCTAGTGGGATCCAATGCCTCTGTTATAATTTGGCCTTCTGGGAATAATCTGATAGATGTGCACCTAATTGACTCGTTAATTTATCCTGACATTTGATTAACGCTCGTTCATTTTATGAAAGGATTGGAGACCACGAAAATTCGCCGTTGTGATCTACATGAAAACGAAAATATGTTATCTACCTGACGGATCAATGGCGTGACAGGTTGTTTTTGGATATTGATCGATTTTTGCAGCTGGCTAATTTCATTGTTGCTGTTTTGTGAACCGTAAAGTCATACAAATGTATCCAGTGAATGTTTTCCTGTATAGAATAGAATGGCTCGAGCATGGAACTCAAACAATTCATTATCTGTCAAATGAATGTATTTTGTTAATTTTGTGAAATTTGGCTTCAGGTGGAGCATAAGGTTGACGGAAACTCGGAGACTGCGCCCACCTGATGAGCCCCAAGAAGGGCGAAACCGGTCGAGGGTTGTCGGCGAATTTTCAGCAACCTTATAAGTAGTGCACGTAGTTCTCGAAAAGCAATTTGGACCTTTATTTTGTGTTCTTTGCATTAGATATCATGGGGTCGCCTCGGAATTTCATTGTCAACATAACGGATGATACACTGTCTACAAATGTATAGCTTATAAATCCTCAAATGTACCTAAAACAACCTAAAACAATGGAAATCCAACTGTGTGAAGTCCATATTGGTTCTGCACATGAATCTCTGTGATGATTATTGCACCGACAGGGCTAAGTAGTACGGACACCAACTAACCATGCACGTGCGTGCTGAGTGAGTGTTTTAATTGATATGGGCCATCAGACAATCCTTTTCACACACTGTGGATTCCAACTGTCAACTGTCTTCACCTTGTTTGACAGTAAGGAGTTATCGGTCAGATTTTTTGGAAGCTTTAGTACTACTCTCGTTAATTTCTCAGTTTTTTCTTTGGGTTTACACAGGGTACAGGTTATTCAGCTGGTTTCACGTGAGGCTCGATGCACATCGGGCGTGGCACTTTTGCCAGCGGGCATGACAGAATACACCCTATGGAAAGAATCAACATTCGTTGAAATGCAAGCGTATTACATACATGTATATATGCAACGTAATATGCGTTTGACTAGTCCTAGTTCGTTTTGTTCAAGTCCGGCGCAAGAATGTCGGGTAACCGGGTTTCTCAGTTGGCTTCGAAGTGCTTGCTAATTCATAGATTTCCCAAGCACGCTGGACGCAAGGAAATGCTGTTGGAATGGAATCACATCTGGGATGAGTAAATATGCTTCAGAGGGAACTTCTGCAAAAAATTTGCCAAGGAGTTCAAGTGTGAAGCGTCCGCCCTTTTTGTCATCATCATGGAAAATTAACGCTGGATTTATAAACAATCAATAACTGGTCACCAAAGGTACAGTACCGGCTGATTCAGCTCTCTAATGGTCAGATAAATCAAGTGACTCAGTGTAAGCGTTTTGATGACAACTATTAACAACTATGCTTGTATCTAAACAATACCCATGCGATTATATGGCTACTTAGCGATGAATTCTAAGACTGACTAAAATAAAAGAGTGGTCAATCGAGGCGTAGAAGCACGGTGTGATGTGCACAACGCTGCTTCCTGCTTAACTGAGAGTTCATCAAAATTCGTGTCAGACGCTTATGGCTAAACGACCTAGCTCTTAAATGATAGCTGGGGTTCACCTGTGTGAATCGCCCTAAAGATCTTTGAAATGCACACTACCGATAACCCACGATAAGGGTAAAACACTGAGTAGAGTTGTTCCGCTTATAGGCACAGATGGACTCCACTTACAAAAGGAATTCTCTAATGGATAATCACATGAATATTAGCTATCGAATCCGTTTTGGTCATTAGCCGATGATTTCTCACCAAGTGCAAAATTTACAACCAAAATACAATGGCTTCTACCATGACGCTGCAACACTCGATAGGTGTGCTGTTCGCACTGATTTCTGACTAGTTAGCATGAGATCATTATCTCGCTTTACCCAATAATATCTGAAGCTAACAGTCACCTAACCGGCTAATACAGCGAGCAAATATATTCCTATATTGCATACAAACGAAAACACTAGATTCACGAATAATTTCCAGCCAGCTAATACAGGAAGCTAGTGTAACCTGGAGACATCTTAGCGCGACCAGGATTCTATGAAAACCGCAAATACTTTTATGATGCGAACTTCTTGTGTCTAAATAGAACGATTGTAACACCAGGAATTCAAAACACATTTGGTCTTTCGTGTTTACCATCACTCGCGTATGACTGTTTTATGAATGGTGGCATCAAATCTGAGATAATGCTGACAGTGAGCTCAGGCGAATGGATATGAGAAACTTCGCCACAATCGCTAAACGTGCGAGTCCCTTGCAACGGGGAAAGAGGAGAGTGCAGCTCTTGGAGTTTTATTGCTGAATTACTTAACTCTGACCAAAAGTGACGTCATAAGGGAACTCGGATTATTTCGAACCACCGTGTTCCATCACCATTTGAGACTACTGAAGAAAACAAAAAAAGCATTTGGAGAGCTTTCATTTATGCATAACCGCTGCAGTCCATGCACGAGACCATTTAGATACTTGCACAGTCCGGCGACCACGGCCAATTCCATTCAGAACAGTTATTACACTGGTATTTGGCTAAAATTTGAGAGTGTTATTTGAACCATTTTTCCGTCTGGTTCATCATTTACTTTCAGTTTTTGCCGACATTTCGAAAGCTCAGTCCTGATGTTTTTAATCTGATTTAATGCACTTGTTTTGTCGGATATTGGACTGATTTGATAACCGCCAAATTCATTTGTCGAAACGAACCGGATATCAGTGGGTTAATCTCATCAGACCAGAACTGCAACCGTGTTGCTTTTGTCCATGCCTATCTACCGCAGTTGCTTGAATGTGTTCGAATTCACGTACAGTGATATTCGGGTGTGCTTGAGACCGAGTCACACACTAGCCTTTGCTTTAGAGCACACGTGGATGTAGTCTTCACATTGTTCCAAGTGAAAGAAGTACTTTGGTACGCGGTGGTTCGTAGATAATTCTTCTCTGTACTTACCACTGCGATCGTTATGGTACCATTCTCTTCTTGCCACAGAGTCATAAAGTCGACTGGGAATCTAAGTTTTCTTTCGCCCAGGTGGTTGCTGTTAATCTTTTAGGCGGCGTTACACTGGGTTCTTCCATGCTTACCAACCTGAATTCCTTCCTTTGATACCCAATAACACATTCACCTCTTTTTTCCTGGTCTGCTCACTTTCGTATCTTCCGAATGCACTTGCCCTCAGCATGACAACACGTGATTTCGTTCGAAGCAGTGACCGCTTCGTGTTTTCAGGTTTCCTCATTCTCGTGCATTGCCCTCTGTGAATGTTTGCGAATATTTCAACCGGGTTAAAAACGTACGTATTACAGAGGGAACGTTATATTGTATTTGTGCAGTGCACCCTACGCCGTGATGTGGCCCCTTTCAATCTGCACCGATAAAACGATAGCCAGTCTGAATAACGAGCAAACGGTTTAGCCATAGGGCAAGGGAAAGCTTACAGGCACAGTAGAGTATGTTTTCTGTTGACGTGCTTCTCAAATACGCATGGCGTGATTAGTAAGCCCACAGATATTTAAATTATTTGCTCAGTGTAGGAACTTTATGGGCTTCTGACCCCTCCAACCGATCCCATCCATTTTCCACTGTCCGAAACATAAATTAATATCTTGATTTCAGTTATCCATAAAACAAACAGTTACAGAAGGTTAGTTAGGTAGGCAGGTAGGCTCAGTGAAACACGTGGAACTGGTAAACTTATACGTAAACGTACATAGTTCGTTGATAAGCAATCACTGCTTGCCTATTTCTCTTTACGTGAAACTGGTGACTTTCTGTGTGACAGGATTATCTAAAAGAATGTTCAATCTGCCATTCGAGTAATGGTTTTCAAGAACTAGCTTTTGCCTTTTTATTTGAGCCGTTGAATTCATTTGGCAAGCCAAATGATGTAAACGCCATCGAAAGTGAAGCGGACCCGCTGCTGACAAACAGTTTTATGATTATTATAAGGAAACAGCTGAACTTTGACATGCATTCACATTTTCATATCAATTTGGTTTTCGCGGTAAAGTCAACTGAATCTCTTCTTTATGACATTCTTCAGCGTAAGGTGCTTCACAAAGACAGCCTCATCTTTCAGTTAGAACAATATTCGAGCTACTGCGACACATTGCATAGGCGTGATATTCTACACATAACGTTGCTGGAACCTCTGACAGACCATGAGCGGTTTTGTCCTTCTTGGGTTTCATTACGACGTCTTTGTGCAACGTATATCATAAACGAAAGACTCAAGTGAGACTTCCAGAAAAACAAAAGTGATATGCAAATGAGTGTACTGGTCGAATGTCGTGCACTTTAAGTAGAAAATGAAGTTGGCGTAAACCCGGAGACCAAGCCCACTTGATGGGACTCATGAAGAGTAAAATAAGTCGTGGGCTGTCAAAAAGTTTTCAACAAACTTGTGAGTAGTTTTCTTTATGAAAACAGCTGTATATCCTTATGCCAGGTTGTTTCTAGTAACTGAGCCCTAACCAACACGGCTCAACTGAATCACCCAGCAACTTATGAGGAAGAAATTGATGACTGCCTCCAGTATTTGGACCTACCGAGCGCGGGCCCATTGACCTGGTAGCCATGTCGTTCAAATGCATTCCTCATGGTCGAGGCAGCATTCACATTCCTGAAGCTTTGGTATTTTGGACTAAAAATGATGAATCATCAAAACTCTGTTCTCAACAGGACATCTGAAGATCACACTCAGTTGCAGCTAAACTAAAGCTGACAAACACTGGGGACGGCAATGGATTGTGACGAAGAAACTTTAGTCATGGCCAGGTATCCGAAAAGACCACTAATGGCATTCCCTCCAAATGGGACACATCAGCTGCGGAACATCTAGTGTCAGCACTAAAACAGAGGTTGAGTGCTGCGGCGACACCCGTCCTAAATCTGACCCAAGTGTTCGACTAATTTCAACGAGGTTAGTCTGGGTCAGTTCTTATGTAAATTTGGGAAAACTACATGGAAAAAACCGGCAGATATCTGAATAATCGGACAAATGTCCACTCATAAAATGCTACAGCTGGCAAGCCTAATTTGGACACCCGTCACCAGGTCCATTTGACTTCGTTCCCTTAATATGCCGTACGTACATAACTGTTAAATAGGCCGGTATTTTAGAGGTCTTTGCCTACGTGCACCCACAAACCTCAAATTGTCAAGCATTTTAATTGAGATCAATTTAACCAGAATACGGTTTATTTGGCGTGGAAATCGTGCTATAATGTGGCTAACGGCATACAGTCTGAACATGAATACTTTACTCCCATTTCTTCTTTCAAATTGACATTTTCCGTACACAACAACATCAATCTTTTCGGATGTAAAATATATCAACCAAAACTGGAATCCCATAGCAACTGATCAACATATTGAACTATCTCATGGATGCGGATACTGTTTTGGGAGATTCCCACTGGCGGAAAACGGTTGTTTGAAACAGAGTAGGCAGAATTTGTTTGGGGTATTTGAGAGAAGCCTGGGAGTTGCGTGCGTCCGAAAATGTGTGATTTTAAACATCGACTCCATTAGCTAGGATGGGCTTGTTTAGTCTAGGCGTTTCGGTTACTAAGATAACATTTTTGACAACTTTGTAGGCATCCAACCTTAATAGAACAGGCAAAAACTTCATACGGACGGACCTTGTTTCATACCATAATTTCGTTCCTGGTAAGACAAAAATTTAATTAAGCTTGTGGCGGGCTTAATTAGAAAACAAATTCATGGTCCATAAAATACTGGAATGAGGTAGCGTGAATGAACAGAAAGTGGAAGTCGGAACCATGCAACTGCAAGACCAACCGAGAATGTGTTTCTATTGAATGAGTTTTCTTAAACATTTTATTGCGTCTTTGCGTCGGAACCAGCATAAACCCTTTAGTTTGCATATATGACACTCACAATAACGACCCAACGTCCTCCCTTACTATAACTAGCATTTTCTTTTCGAAGGCATGGACGTTTGTTTAGCTGAACACTCATCATATTAGGATAACTGGTGGATTTTGTCCAATTTGCAAGCCACTCTATGATTATATTTAACCATATATGGTGATTACGTAGGTCACATACGGGTGGTCATGTTAGCCGAGATGATATTATAAGGATATCCGTTTTAACTGATGCGTACAATATAGTAGCCAAACTCAGAACATGTGGTGTAGGACTGAAGGGTTTGTTCGCTTAACTGGGTCACATAAGCAATTTTATCATCAACGGAATTTCGAAGCCAGTTGTATTTTGCCGATTATTTCCCAATTCGACTGTAGGTTTGTAAAAGAAAATTACTTGTCAGATTAGAATTGTGTGAACCACTGCATGACAATCTGATCTCACGATTGACAAAGCGATGTGAATTTTAGAGAAACAGGTTTGCTTCGCTTGCTCACTAATCGTCCATCGCTTAAGAAATTAGGTTTCACAAATATTTCTTTTTCCTTGTCAGAGGAACTATTGCAACAGTGATTGAAACCAGATGACAAACTACAAGTGGAAGTATGTGGAATCTTTAAAGGCAATAGACACTTGAAAAGCTCAGTGTTGAGAAATTGACGTGCTGGCAAATAGAGGTGTTTCCTCGTGGTTCGGCTATTAGAACCACATCACGACAAACCGACTAATTCATATTGTAATAAATGTTCTCATCCTAAAATTTTCTTCAATAACCATCTAAGGTACAATACCAGAACGGGAACCAAACTGTTAGAATCAAATGTAAAGTAAGTAACGTGCCAAAGAAAGATCTACAGTTCCGACTGGCTCTGTGAATCAAGAAACTTATCCAACGAAAGCTTATCCCTCGGCTCGTGAAAGTGTAGGCCACTGATTGCTCACTTTATCAAATATTATTTCTTCTTCTTTCATCTGATTTTTTAGTCAAGGTTTGGGCTAGTGTGTAATCATTTGCCACGGTACAGCCGCTTCTACCATTTTGAACGATAAATCCTTAAAACTACAAATTCTGGACGTGTATTCATATAAAACTGAACGAAGAATTCGCCTCAGCTCAGTTCTTCGCATTGTTTTAGGGTTCACAGTGAGGTGCATGAAATGAGTGCATGAAAAAAGAAGCCCTCTGTCTATGTACTTAATCTAACCGGACATGCCCATGGAATGGAATTTCTCTTAGGTGATGCTTTAACGACACACAACTTGTTCAAAAGGTCGTTTTAAGTGGGAGGAAACTGCGCAAACGCTAGCCCTCTGTCTATGTACTTAATCTAACCGAACATGCCCATGGAATGGAATTTCTCTTAGATGATGCTTTAATGACACACACCTTGTTCAAAAGGTCGTTTCGAGTGAGAGGAAACTGCGCAAACACCGCCATAGTAGCACACAAGGCTTTGTTCTGTGTGGCTGAGTTTTTACATTTAATCGTGGTTACTTTTGAGTCTTGTTCACCACGCCCATGACGACGTTGTCTTGCAAAAGCAGCCATAGCCATTGTGTCACAAGTACACAAACTACTTGCATTTAGGATTTTATCACGGCCGCTTGTTGATGAGCACACTCGTAATGAGCTTGTCAGGGGCGAATTTCCTTTAGAAGCAACACAGTGTAGAAACTTGTTGCTTCAGTTTGCCATAGACGTGGCACAAAGCCTCTTACAAAGTAATTTAATTCACTGCCATTAAGACCACAAGAATAAACACTATTAGAAACCAAACCCAGAGGGATGGGTTATGAAGTTTGCATAAATACCACTTGAAAAATTGGTAATACGACTCAACTTGACCGGTAGGTGTCAAGTTCTGAAGTGGTTTCCTTGTGAGCAAACCGTAGCATGTGGAATACCGTGATAAAGTCGCATTAAACCGAATAAAATTATTCTTGACTCCATGGAACACTGCCTCATTAGGTTGAACGAACAGACGTTTTTCGGGCAGCGAAGTACCACTGTTCCCATCTGGTGTTCCTGATGATGATGAAGCTGTTTGAGTTAACCAGCAAGAGTTATAGCATCATCCTAAAATAACTAGACCACAGGAACT